GGAATCTCTGTGATTTGGATGTTGGAACATTTAAAATTGTCCCAGAGATTCCTAAGCCTCTCCTCATTTTTTTTAATTCTTGTTTCTTCATTCCGTTCTGGTTGAATGTTTATTTATTCCTTCTGTCCCAAATCATTGATATGAGTTCTGGTTTCCTTTCCATCACAGTTGGTTCCCTGTATACTTTTATTTCACTTTGCAGTGCCTTCACTTTTTCCTCTATTTTGTGACCATACTCAGCCATTTTTGTGAGCATCCGGATTACCAGTGTTTTGAATTCTGCATCTGATAGGTTGGCTCTCTCTTCATCACTTAGTTCTTTTTTTGGTGCTTTGATCTGTTCTTTCATCTGGGCTATATTTGTTTGTTTCCACTCATTTGTTCTGTAGTAAGGGGCAGAGCTGTAGGTATTCTCCAGGGTGGGGCGACCCATGTTGCTGCGTTGTGATGCTGTATGTGCGAGAGGGTCCGAGAGGGAACGACGCTGCTTGCTCAGCTCTCCCTGGCGTTCAGTCACTTCCCCTGCTACCCACAAGCAAATTGGGCCCTTCTGGTGCTGATCGGAGCACCTGGGGAGGTGGGTGGGTTTGTGTACATTCTAGGACCCCGTGGGTGTCTCCAATGAACTCTCCTGCGAGGCTGGGAGTTTCACCTGCTGCCACAACCCCCACAGATGTTTACAGTCAGAGGTTTTGAGGCTTTATTTCCCTTTGCTGGAACCCTGAGTTGCAAGGTCTGTCTTGCTCCCCAGTTGTTCCTCCCAGTTTATGCAGTTGTGGGACCACCCTGCCCGCCACCTTGCCACAAGTCCTCTCCACCCTGGCCGCCAGTCTGAGTGAATGTTTCTTCTTTAACTCCTTGGTTATTGGACTTCCATACAGTTCTATTTTATGGCAGTTCCAGTTGTTTTTTGTTTTTAAATTTGTTGTCCTTCTTTTGGTTTTGTGAAGAGAAACAGTGTGTCTACTCATGCCTCCATCTTGCAGCTGTACAGTTTTCTTACTCAAACCTTCAGTCTCCTCAGAATCTCTATGCCTCAGTTTCCCCATCTGCAAACAAGAGTAATAAGAGTACCTACTACCTCTCACAGTTTTTGTAAAACTTAATTGTATCAGTCTGCTTGGACTCTCATAACCAAATACGACGGTATTTACTGGCTTAAACAAGAAATTTATTTTCTGACAGTTCTGGAGGCTGGAAGTCTATTTCAATATCTCCAGCAAGGCATGATAAAGGTCTGGACTTGGCCAAAGGCTTGAACATGGGGGGAAATGACCTACCAATGTCCTACAAAGTCAGAAAAGTCATCCCAACCTCCCTACCTCCCAGTTCTGCTGTGAACAGTAAGCAAGACCAGGAATTCCTGGGACGTGCTCTGTGAGCCGTGACTTGCAGCCCCTGGGGGAGGGGCCGTGTCTGTCACTCTCTCTGGCAGAAGACAAAGTCCTCTGGGGGCGGACAGTAGCTGACGCCACGTCCCTCAGCACAGTTTCATACCCATTCTTCCCTCGGAGCCACCCAGGAGAGTGTGTTTGTGAAGGGCTGGGGGTGGGCCGCGTGAGAACTGGCCACCCGGAAGGGGGTGACACGAAGCTGGGGGGGGGTTGGGGGGGATGGGACGACCTTGCAGGAGGCCACGGTGGGGGTGGGGTGAGGGGCAGGGGACCCGGCTTGGAGTCAGAAACCCCAGCTCTGCATCTACCAGAGGGCCGAGGTCGGAGGGCGGGAGGGGGACCACCCCCCCACACACTTCCTGTGCCCCTCTGGGAATCAATTTCCTTTGTTTTTGTTTTGGGTTTCAACATTTTAATGTGGTGAATTTAAAATTTAACTTGAGTGGAGAGAATAATACAACGAATCCTTATGTGCCCATTACTCAGCTTCTGCCATTATGAGCTCAAGTCCCATCTTATCTCTCATTCTCCCACCTGCTCCTCCCTGGGCATTTGTAAGCCAGTCCCAGACATGCTGTCCCTTCATCCACAAAGATTTCAGTCAGGACCGTGACTGCAGGGCCATTATGACAGCTCAGAAACATTAACAACGGTTCCTTCGTTAGAAATATTCACTCACCGTTAAGTTTCCACGTGTCCCATAATTAGCACGTGGATTAGCTGACATGCCTTTGGAGCGTATCTGTAAATTCCCTCTCCACTTCTTTTTTTGTTTCCTTGCAATTTATTCATTGAAGAACTGGCTGGCTGTCCTGTGGAAGCGTCCACAGGGCAGAGTTTGCTCACAGGGTGTATGTTTTTGTCTGTAAAATGCAGGAATCGTTCTCTCTGAGAATTCAATGACATGGTGCCTGCCGATGGGTGCTGACGTGGAGGCACCTGCCCAGGTCCTCTCTGAATGGATCCCTGCAGCCTTTCAGTGCCCTGTTGCTTTTGCTTTTCTGATGATATAAATGAGCTCAGAGAAGCTTAGGAACCTGCCCGTGCTCACACAGCTCCCTCACAGGAGAGGGACGAAATGGCACGATGGGACTAAAAGAACTTCGACTGCAGAAAAAGACCCAGGTTTGAATCCCACCGCCCCCATTTCACAGCTTCACGGCCTCACATTTCCACTCTTTGAGCCTCGGTTTCTTCACTTTCAAAACACCCAGGTCTGCATGATGCTAAAAGGAAACACATGAGAAGACCCCCCCAGGGGTGCCTGGCACAGTGGGCGCCTCACCACAGGGCTTTGGAAGCCCTGCCTCCTTCCTTGCTACCCGTGGATAAGGCGCACAGGTCTGGTGGGGGTCAAGCTGGACCCCCGGTCGGCCCTCCTCCCCCGCCCCCAGCCCGGCAGAGACAGAGTGGGCGGTCCTCGGGGGCTGAGCACGCTCTGCTCTGTTCCCGGGACGGCTCCAGCAGGCGGCTGTGACCTCCACGGGGAACAATCAGCTATTCTTCCTCCTTCCCCCTCTGTTTTGCTGCTCATCCCTTGGGCCTGAGGGTCCAGAGGGAAATGCTGTCCCTGGCAGCAGCGCCCAGCCCAGCCCTGCAGCCAAATGCACGGTTTCCAGGCCCGGCCTCAGCTCGAGCCAAGCCTAAGGCAGAGTTCCTACCAGAGCTGACACCGTATTTTGATGTCTGCTCGGACCCAGTGTCACTGACTCACTCAGCGGGGACAATGCCGGGCCCTGCAAATAACGGTACAAAGATAATAACACCAGCACCACTAATAATGGCCCAAACTGACACAGTTCCTACTCGAGGCCAGGCACCGTTCAGAGCACCGTGCACGTGAGGCAGGCACGATGTTCCCATTTCACAGGTGCAGAGACTGAGCACCGACAGCTGGAGTGATTCACCTGCGGTCATGGAGCCGGTCGGTGGCAGAGCTGGCATCTGAACACGGGTTTGCCTGAGGAACGACGGACGCTACAAAGGGGATTTCAGTTGAGCTGTTGGCTGTTACACAGGCCGAGCTTTTTAATCCTCACGACAGCCCCCAAATATCTGCCTTACTGTCCACATCTGCATGTGAGGGAACTGAGGCTCACAAAGGTGGGACATTGAGCCCGAGCGCACACAGCTGGGCCCACTTGACTCCAAGGTCATGCTCCTCTCGGGAACTCAGAGGAGGGTGGAACTACCTTCCAAGAGCTTCCTGGACCAGGGGTCATGTCGAGAAGTGGGACTTGAATGGCAGCAAGCCCACCCCTCACATCAGAGCAGGTTCCGTGAGGCCCTCAAGGTGTCAGGACTGGCCCCTTCACCCCAGTTTCCGGCTGTGCAGACTGCGACTGTTGGGGGGCAGGTTGCCCAGAGTCCCAGACCTCGGCGCTCCATCCCTGAACTGCCCAGCAGAGAGGGGCTGGAGGCGGTGGCTGACCAGCTCAGCACAGAGCCACGAGACTCCGTCTATTGCCCGTCTCTCTGACTGACCGTGAGGGCTCCGAGGGCAGGGCTGGGCTCTCTTGGCGACCTCTGGTCATCTAGTCCCAAGCGCAGGGCCTGACACAGGGCAGGCAGGGGAAGGGGGAGGGGAGGACCTTGTACCAAATCCAGAGGACTTCCACCCCAACCCACCACAGACCCATCGGGACCCTGTGTGAGTGCCCATTTCAAGGCTAAATTTCTAGAGAAAGTATGTGTGGGACACGGAGAGTCGTCCTCAGAGGAGGGGGGTTTGCGATGCAGACACCCACACTGGGGGGCTGGCCCGTGCAAGGGCTCGGAGCCACACGCGCACCCAGAGAATGACTACAGGAGGGAAAGCCGGAAGGACTTCCCACCAGGAGGAGTGACCCACGGGTCCCCAGGTGCATCAAGCCCCTGTCACAGAGGAGTGCACACGGGGCAGGGACAGCCCCACTGAGGCCCTGGGGAAGGGACTTCCACCAGGGGGCCCAGGGCTCCCTCAGAAGTGCTCCGCGCCGCCACCCGTCCCTGCGACCCCAGGGGTCGGTCTGTGGTTGCGGGCACAGAACTCTGTCATGGCCTCTGTTCTGTTCCGATGCCATCACCCAGGACCCCGTGAGCCGAGGTCGGCTGTGCCCAGCACTGTGCCCCGTGTTCTGCCTCCCGTCATCCTTCCACGTGCCATCTGGGGGATGTTGTGCGTTACTGTCCCACCAGGTAGGAAAGCTGAGGCCCAGAGAGGCCAAGCGGCTTCTCCACAGTTTGTGAAGAAACGTCCCCTGGGCCGGAAAGCAGGCCGACCAGACCCTGGAGCCACCCCACTCACCAGTCCGACTCCAACACCCTGCGGTCCCGATACTCACTCTTTGTGGCCTGAAACCACGGTCCCTCCCCTGGGGGTGGACCACAGGGCCGCCAGCGCCACCACAGCCCCACCCTGGCCCCACCACAGCCTCGCCCTGTGGTTTCCAGACTCTTCACCACGGCAGATTTACCACAAGGGTTCCCGCAGGGGGCTGCTGGTCCGTTCTCCTTGCCTGATTCTCCATTTCTTTTAAAGCCCAAGGTGGCCGAGGTCCAAGGGGGACCATGGGCACCCCTCCCTCCCTGACCTCTGCATTTAGCTCACACTCTGGCTACAGTACATCATTTCAGCTTAATTTTATTTCCTCTTATAAATGGGCACAGCACGGGAAGTGTTAAAAAAAAAAAAAAACAAAGCAAAACAAAAAAACCAACAGTTCCTTCTGGGACAAATGAGCACCCCCAGCAGGTGCCTTGGTCGTTTTCCAGTCTCTTCCCTCCACGTAAAGTTTTGGCCATGAACTCAGGACAGGTGTGGTTAATAAACAGGTTATGGGGAGAGGGGCCAGGGAAAGCCTGGAGCAGAGGACAAATTCCCCCCTGCCCCAGGACAGGTTCTTGGAGGGCTCTGTACAGGAGAAAGGACGCACAGGAGGGGACACTGTCTTCGGGGGGCTCTCTGGAGCCACACTGCCTACAAAAAAAATATTTACATGCATTCGCCACGCTGGGGCCAGGCGCACCGAGCTGCCAGATGGGTACCCAGGGGGTGCTGGGGCCGTCAGCCCTTAGACAGCAACACCAGAGTCTGGTCTCAGCATCTCTGTAAATCTGTACAGTTTGGAGCTTCTATTTACAGGCAGGCGGCCTGGGGAAGCAAGTCCAGGGTGGCGGCTGTCAGACCCATGGGCTCGCTCTCCGTGCCCAGGGCTTTTGGACAGATGACTTGCCAACCTCAGGGGGTCCTGAGCTCCCCAGGCCACTGCCCACAGATCTGCCAGGCCCAGCCTTTCCGAAGAGGTACCCCGTCCGGCCCCCTGGGAAGACAGGGCCTGGCTCTAGAAATCACAACTGGGCGTGGGCCCAACCTGAAACTCCCAGCCTGCCTTTGTGCTCCCCGCAGCCTAGGCCCTAGAGGCTCTCGGCTCACACAGACTCCCTCCCCTTTGGCATTGGCCATGCTTCCAGGAAATGCCAGGGCCCGACCGACCCCCCCAACCCCAGGAGCACGGGCACACCTGAGGATCTATTTGGGCAGGCCCTGTACCCACATTGCACCCAGGAGAGCTCCAGCTCACCCTTTGAACCGACCTCTCTCTTGGATTGCCCTGTTCAACTGGGGCTGGCCAGACGGCTAAACTTTGTAAGGATAAAGCCTGGACATTTGCCTCGGGCCCAGGGCTCCATGAATGAGGGCCTTGGCCTCTTCTCTCAAAGGCTAAGGACACAGAGGAAAGACCAGTGCCAGGAGGCAAAGCCCCAAGTTGGAAGCCAGGCCGGACCCACGCGGGCCACTCCAGGCAGCCTAAACCCGAGTCGTGCATCCTGTCCCCACCCCCTGCCACGGGTCTGACACGGTCCCAGCACCCCTGGGCTTCCCGGTGGGGCCCAGGTCCTCTCTGGTTTCTCAGCCTCGGCCTGCCTAGGCGTTCTCACCAGAGCTGCTGCCCCCAACAGCAGCCCACCAGGGCTCAGGGGGGAGGGCAGCTGGGACTTTGGTGTCCTCCAACCCCCACGCCCCAGCCCTTCAGCTCCAGAGGTGACCAAGGCCAGGCCACCTCCAACAGTTTGTGGGCCTAGGATGCCTCTCCCCACTCCTGTCCCCCCTCCAAAGGCTGGGACCACCTGGGTTCCTCACAAACCTCCGGGCCCTGCTGAGGGGCTTGGGAGTCTGAGATGGAGCCCCAGGCTGGAAGGAAGATGGTGGAAGAGGCAGGCCGTGAAAGGCCCTGGACCCTGGCCCTCTCTGCCTCAGGCACCCCCCACCCCTCACCCAGCAAGTCTGTTACCAGCGCATCTTGAAAAGGGAACAGAAATGAAACCTAGGTTCCTGGCTTTAATCTGGGTTGGAGGTGAGGGGCGGGGGCGTGAGCACCAGCCAGCTACTGAGCAGACCACGTCTTGGGGCTCTAAGCGCCCCTGCTGAGTGCACCCTGCTAAAGGAGATTTGTGACCCCACATTTAAAATAGCCACAGAAGTAGCCTCACTTACAAGGGTAAAGAAGTGGGGGGCAGGCTGGGGGAGCCTGTGGCACCCCTGCCCCCACCTGCTCTCAGCCCTCGGCCTGGTGGTGCATCTGGGTGGGCTGCTTCCAGCTGCAGCCAGAACCACCAGGTTGTTTGGCCCAGTAATCGGGCAAGGTGTCCATGGGGAAGGCCCAGGGAGGACCCCAGGGCGGGGCTGAGGTGGGCCTGGCAAGGCCAAGGGGAGAGGGTGCAGAGGGCCCGGGCGGCAGGGCCCACCCTCACAGGCACTTTGGAGACTTGTGTCCTGGGAGGCAGAGTCGGCCCCTAGCTCAGAGCAGGAGGGGGTGTGGGAGACCAGGTGCCGGAGCACAGGCTCCCTCCCCGCCTGGGGCCTTTGGTCCTGGGAAATCCAAGCCCCCTCCCCAGCCCGAGGCCAAATTCCAGGAACCAGCCTGCCTTCCTCAGCAAGGCTCCCCCCTAGTGGGGAACTGGCCCCAAACCAACCCCTCGGGTAACAGAGAGAGAAGCAGGTGCAGGGGAGGGGTGTGCAAGGCCCTGAGGCAGTGCCCTCCCACACCACACTGAACGGGAAGACAAGCGCCCACTGTCTCCTCCAGCGTGAGCCCGGGCCCCGTGGGGTGGGACTGCATCCACGTGGGGTTGTGTCTGACACACGGGGGTCAGCGGCCATGTGGCTGGTGGTGGGGGTGGGGGCGCTATGGTGAGGGGCTGAGCCTGACAGGGTGACTCAGGGGACCCAATATGGGCTGACTGTACTGGCTTGGTCCCACCCTCCCCACTGAGCCTGAAAGCCAGAGAACGTGGTGCCGGACTGTGCGTATGTGGAAGGGGAGACGGTGAGGGAAGCAGGCCACACTGTTGCCACTGGGTGACAATGGCTTGTGACTTGCACTGTTGAGATTTGAGGGCGCATGAGAAACGCATAAGAAACACCTTTGGGAGAATGTGTGTGTCTGTGATGTGTCTGGACTGGCAGGGTGCTCAGGACTGCCCATGATTTTGTCATTTCATGCTTTTGTCTTTGGGCGTGACAATATGCGTGACCTTGTGGGGGACAGTGTCTGTGCCAAGTCCACTCGCAAGAGGGAGGTCTGATCAGCCCAGCCAGCCCTCCTCACCCGTGGCTGCCAGGACACTCTTAGAAAGCCACGTCCTCAGGGGCAGATGGGGAAGAGGCGAAACCTTCAGGTGCAGGTGCAATGGGACGGGTGAGGGGAGAGCGACCCCACAGCCCCGGTCACGCCAGGCGGCAAGGGACACATCTCACCCGGGGAGAGGGGCCTGGGACAGAAGAGGTGGCAGTGTCTCGATTTCAAGGCTGAACTTGTAAATGCTTATCCTGGGAACCAGCCTGAGTGCCCCTCTGCCCTTAGAAGAAGACCTCAGCCAGCCCGCGGGGCCCGGCTGGCATTCGAGCCCACCTCCTGCCCCACCCTTTCTTCCCCCAGCCACTCAGGAGCTTCTTTCCTCCCATCCCTCTGACGTGAGGTCCTGAAGCCCCAGGCTGGTGGAGGACAAGAGATGAGCTGGTAAGGGCACAGGCCAGGGCAGACGGCAGTGCCCCCTGTGCCTTGGGGAAGACCCGTGTGAGGCTGGCGGTCTGGGCAGACCTCGGGAGGCTGGGGGGAGAGGAGCTGGGGCCAGGCTCCCTCCCGGGCCCACTCCCCAGGCCAGGGCTGGTGGGACGGGCCAGGGACTGGGTGGAGGGGCAACGCTGAGGCTCTGGGAGGCACTGTGGCTCCGCTAGGCATAGAACTCCTCCTGCTTGTCAGGCTTCTGGTACGTGACGCTCGCCTGCTTGGGCTCCTCCAGCGTGTAGCTGCCCTCGTCCTTCTTCTTCATGCGGTAGATGAGCAGGGTGACCAGGAAGGCGGCGAAGAGGGCGCCCACCACCCCGCCCACAATCACGGCTGTGGAGGAAGAGGGCAGAGGTCACGGCCCAGGGGAGGGAGCAGAGCCCTGGGGGTGGGGGCTGGGAAACTGGAGTTGGAGTCGACTCTGACCACTTCCATTTACAGCCCCCACTGCAGCCTGGTCAGCTCCAGTCACCTCACGCACACTAGCCCGTGGAAGCCTCATGCGGCTCAAGGCCAGTGCCATGGTCCCCATCCAGCTATTTTACATGTCACTGGGAAAGAAAAACTCTGCCAACTGAACTGTGACCCATCCCAACCACAGGAGTTAACGCATGAACAGACGTGCAGAGAACGGACTAATGCAAGGTGGTTAACTCCGCTCTACAGATGATGCAAGAGGAGCCTCGGGAGGTGGGGGGCCTGCCCCGCCCGCAGCCACCCTGGGTGGGGAGCAGGGTGGTGGGCCTGAGTCCGGACTGCAGGAAACAGCCAGGGCAGGTCCTCGGTGCCTGGGCTCCAGGGTGGGCCAATCAGGCCAAAGAAAGGACTCAGAAATTAGGACCCAGGGGGCAAGGTCTGGAAGGGGTCAATGAGCAAGGCCCAAGAAAGCAGGGGTCAAGGGCATCCCCCTGAAGGGGGGATCAGGGGGTGCTGAGGAAGCTGCTGGAGGTAACAGGGAGTGCGTGTCAGGCTCCGGGATGAGTGACGGTCCAGGGACACACCAGAGGGGGCCGCTCTGGGAAACTAGGCTCCCGGGAAACTCACACCCTGAGTTCCCCCAGGGCAAACTGAGGACAGACCAGCTGCCCCTCCCACAGCTCCCCCCACCCTACCCCCTGGCCCAAGCCTCACCTACAAGCACCTCCTTCCGCTCCAGGATGCTCTTCTGTGGCAGCTGAGCCGCCGAACTGCCCGACTCGATGGCATTGTCCAGGAGGCCAGGGCCCGGGCGAGCGCCCTTGGGCAGTGTCCCAGGTGGGGGCGACGGCTTAGCCGCAGCCCCACCCACTGCCACCACCTCATTGGCTGTGTCTGGCTGCGTGGTTTCTTCCTCCGGCAGCTCAAAGTCCCCGCTGGGCCCCCCAGTCACTGGTACCTCTGGCTCATCCCGGATCGTGGTCAGGAAGGACTCTGGAGTCGGGGTCTGTGGGGAGGATGGCATGAGCCCAGGCCCCGGGCCCCAGTGCCCTGGCCACAGGGCAGCCACACGGCAGCCACACGCACATGCGCACTGCCCCTCCGGGCTAATGCTTACCAAGCACTCACTATGTGCAAGGCACTGTGCTAAGCACATATGGGCATTACCTTCACAACATCTCTGCAAAGGCACTGTTGTAACATCCAACACACACAAAAAGAAACAGGCTCAGAGAGGTTAAGTGACTTGTCCAAGGACACACAGCTAGTAAGTGGTAGAAGCAGAACTAAAATCCAGATCTATCTGATTCCGGCATGTGTTTCTAACCACATGCTATGCTGTCTCTGTTCTCATCTGGCCACATACTGTCCCCATCCCATCTCCGTCACTTCCCCCTCAGGCTGCCGTGGAAGATTCCTGTCGAGTTTCTGTCAGGGCACTGCTGGGTCAGCTTTTACATTCTTGGGCCTGGTCCCCAGTCCACATGCGTGGGGCACAGGTGAGTCCCTTAGCCCGGAGGTCTGTCCAAGGGCACAACTCCAAAGTACGATGCCCCTTGGGGGCAGATGTCCAGGGGACCAGCCCAGTGACCATGAATCTGGATGGCTTCCACCACGGGGGACAGGACCAGAGCTGGGATCAGGAGCGGGGGACAGAGGGTGGGCACGGAGAGGGCGGGCCTGGTGTCGGGGCTGAGTGGCCGAGTGCAGAAGCTCTGTCAGCAACCTGGCCTCGGTCTCGTCACCGTCCCCTCTTCCTGCTCAGCCAAGCACCTGCGAAGCACCAGGCTGCCTGGCTGTTCAGAGGAGGGGTCCCCGCTCTGCTGGGGCTGGCTGGGAAGCCAGGGGTGCTGACGCTGCCCCGAAGGCAGCTCCAGGGCCTGCGGGCCCTCCTCTGTGGGGCTGGCTGCAAAGGGCTTTCGTATCCATGTCGGTGTCACGGGGGACCCGCCTCGCCCAGCACGCCCAGCTAGGAACAGGCTACTCCCCCCACCGCCTTGTCCTATCCATCCCAGCCTGCTGACATCCCCATCCTCCTCCCTTCAGTCCCTCACTGCCCCCCACACCCCACACGCCCAGGCCTCTGGAGCCAGCTGCCAGGTTCACACCCTGACTCTGCCACTGCTGGCTGCAAAGCCCGGGGAGGGGGCCCGCCTATAAGAGGAGGCTCACGGTGCCACCCCAGGGGGTGGGCGTGAGGGGAGAGCACTTGGCACAGGATAAGCTCACAGCACTGAACCTGCCATCCAGCTACTAGCATTCCTCTCAGACTAATAGTAATAAAACAGTGATTATGAGCCCTGGCTAGTGTAGTGTAGCTCAGTGGATTGAGTGCAGGCCTGTGAACCAAAGTATCTTGGTTCAATTCCCAGTCAGGGCACATGCCTGGGTTGCAGGCCAGTTCCTGGCAAGGGACGCATGAGAGGCAACCACACATTGATATTTCTCTCCCTCTCTCCTTCCCTTCTCCTCTAAAGATAAATAATAACAAAGAAATCTTTTTAAAAAAGATTATGATAACAATTCCAAAACTTTTGATTTCTGCACTATTTATTGCCAGGCACTGTCCTAAGCACTTTGGATCTGTCAGGGGACTTAATTCTCTCAACACTCTAATCTGCACTCTATTTCCTCCTCTTCACAGATAAAGAAACAGACGTACAGAAGGTACAGAAAACGTTGGTGACTCCCTGAAGTCACACGGCCAAAAAGCGGCAGTGGAAAAACTCCCACCCAGACTTGCTGACTCCAGAGTCTGTGCTGTTTCACCAGAACACACAGGCCCTGGCCCCGCCCCCACCAACACACACATCAGCCAGTCCATTCCCAGCATCCCGAGGCCCAGCCTGGTCTCTCTTCCGTCCCCGTCCATCTCAACCTCCATGCTCACCCGGTGACTCACCCAGCCTTGGCCTCCATCCTCACGCCCCTCTGCCATGCCCGTCCCTGACCAGCTCACCCCCAGAACCTCCCAGTCCTCACCTCTGCCCGGACCCTGACATACCCCCTCTGCCCTCACTTCCTGCTGTCTCCCAGCCTGCTTACCTGAGCCACCTCCGTCGGTCCAGGGGCAGTGGTCCCCAGGGGCAGGGTGCTCTTCTCAGGGATGTCAAGCTCCTGGGTGGTAGCTGGCCTGGGAAGGGCCCTTGGCCTGGAGGTAGCTGTACTGACCAGCCTGGGGGTTGGGGCCTCTGTGTCCAAGACAGCCACCGTGGTGGGAGGGGAGGGCACCTCTGGGGTGGTGGCCCGGGCTGTGGCCGCCGTGGTCAGCGGAAGAGGAAGAAGCCTCCGTACACCGGTGGTCCTTATGACAGAGGTGGTGGCCGCGGAAGGGGGTGCCGCAGGAATGCTGGGAATGGCGGTGGCCGCCGTGGCCGGCACCAAGGCCACGCTTGGGGCTCCCGTGGTGGTGGCAGCAGTGGTGGCCACAGGAGTGGAGATGGCGGCGGCTCTCTGGCTGGGCTCTTCCGGGACCTCTGTCACCCCTGGGAGGCCAGTGGCTGGCTCTGGGGTGGGATGCTCCGAGGGGAGCTCTTCGAACGGGGTACCCACAGGCTGGACATCCACGGTAGGCAGCACAGCGGCTGTGGTGGACACTGCCAGGGCCACGTCCGGGCTGAACCGCATGGCCGTCTCAATGCCTGACTCCTGCTCGAAGTCTGAGGGGCGGGGAGAGGAGAGAGCTAGGGATCTGGGCAACCGCGTGGGCGTGAGGCTCCCGGGAGGCCATGGCCACCAGGATGAGGGGCTCTCAACCCTCACTCTTTGCAGTTTTCCCAGGACAAGATGAAGGAAAGGAGGAAGGCACAGTCTGGCCCAAGGTTACCAGCTGGCTGATGGCCAGTGGATGTTCCCCAACTCCTCTCTGCCCAGCCAGCAGTCCCTTTAGGGAGCCACCTAGTCCAGGAAGTCTTCCCTGACCATCCTCGCCCACCCAGCCTGGGGCTTCTAACTGGTTGAATCCAGGCAGTGACAACTAAGGGCCACCTGGCCACAGATCGCACTAGAGGGTTAGGGGAGCAGGGAGGGGAAGGACGTTCTGGGAAGAGGCAGTGGGTGCGGGGAGGGGCCCCTGAGGCACGGGCAGAGGGCAAGAGAAGAAAGCCTTCCTCCAAGGGCGTGCTTGAGCCATCTGGGGGACTCTCAAGGGTCAAGTGGAGGAACTGAGACAGAAAAGGAGAAGCTGCATCAGCTCCTGGTGGGTCTGAACCAGGCCGAGAAGCGAAGAGAAGCCCGGAAGGTTTGGAGTAGAGACATGGCCCATCAGAGACGAACTGAATGAAAACTAACTTGTGAGAGGCTTTAAAAAGTGGGCTAAGGTGGAAAGGCCAGAGGCAAGGGGCCGCGAGCAGCCAGTTCTGCGGCGCGCAGACCTCCTCCCGTCCCATCAGACCTGCCCTGTCCTCCCACGGGCTCCGATCTCAGCACACGGCCCGGTTCGAGCTCCGTCCCTGCGCCGGGCCCTGATGGTTTACATGAAGCCTTCCCGAGACTCCGAGAGGGGAGGAGGCATAGCTATTAAGCAATAAAGTTGGGACTGGAACTCACACAATCCACCCGCCATTCCCAGCGCCAGCCTCAGACCCCGCCCTTTTCCATCAGTGCTCTAAGCCCGCCCTGGCCACAGCTGACTGGGCCAAAGGGGCTGAGCCGGTCAGGTGGTCTCCACTGAGGACCTGCCTGGCTAAGTTCCTCCAAGCGTTGGAACAGGACTGCAGACCGGGTTCCTGAGGGATGTCTGTGTCCCCACAATGCAGGCCACAGGTCTGTGCCAAGACCCGAGCCATGCACACAGAGACAGAGCCGCAGGGAGTCCTGGGCTGGAGGCTTTACGGCTCTAATACCCCCACAGAAGGCCGATTGGCCCTTCTCGTGCTCAAGGTCCAAGAGCTACCCCTGCCGGACTTCCCCTCCCCCAGGGCCACCACTGAGGTGACCCTGCACAGGTTTCTGTGCCGAGATCACAGCCTCGTGGCGGGCCCTGGAGGCAGGCTGGTGTGGTCAGCACAACACACACATGCACACACACACACACGCAGGGAAGAGCAAGGGGAGGTACTTACAGCCTGAGCCGGACCCCGAGTACAGGTCGTCCAGCTCATCATCAGGGAAGGAGTCATCGTCCCCGGAGCCCTCAAGGTCCACAGGCCTCTCGAAGTTCTCACTGCGCCAGCGCTGAGTCTGGGGATGGCAGAGGCAGGCACGGGCTTAGCACCCTGAGACCAGCAGGCTGGACACTCCCAGAGGGACCGAAAACATGCCCATGGCCCAAGTGACAACAAAGGGACAGTATCAGGTGTGGCCTGCAGGTGGGCAGAGCCAAGGTAGGCCTACTCCCCACTTTCCACCGACCCAGGAGCCAGGGCGGAAGCCCAGCTTGCTGACGGCCACCACCACTGAGAACTGCAGTCACTGCCCAACTGGAACCGCTGAGTGGCAGAACCAGGTTTAGAGCCAGAAAGCTGACTGGCATCCTGGCTCCAACATTTTCTAAATGTGTGGCCTGGGGCAAGTTACTTGATCTCTCCATGCCTCAGTTTCCTCATTATTTGTAGTGGACAGCACCTGCCTTAACAGGTAACGTGTGATACGTGTGCAGTGCTGTGCACACTCGTGTGCAGCAGGTGCTCTGCGCAGGCTGCTGTTACTCTCAGCGTGGCCAGCATCCCAGACCTTCTTCTACAGAGGACAGAACTAGGCCCCCCTGCCCCAGGCCACCAGACAGCACGTAACACGATGAGATTCAGGCTCAGCTTGGACCCAAAGTCTTACGCCTTGAAATCCCCCAGGCAGGGCAGTTAGTCCGTTGGACGGATGTCACATGGTGGGGGCGGGGGGTGTGTGGCCCAGGGAGGGAATTTCCTAGGATAAAAGGTGGGACACAGGGAGAGAAAGGAATGCAGGCTGCAGCCCTGGCCCTGGGTCCTCCCCAAAACAAGAAGTCAGACCACCCACCATGATCTCACCCCCCCCCAAGGATCTCAGCAACAGTCGGCTCAGGGCCTGATGCTGCCTGCCTCAGGGGTCTCCAGGGCGCCAGGAAGTCTGAGAGGGCTTCTCCCAGGATCCAGCTCACCAGGCACAAGACCCTTCCTACAGCCAGAAGCTGGGAAGGCAGGGAGCTGGGCTTCCTGGGCCCGGACCATGCCTCCTCACTGCACCCCTGGGCCGAGGGCCAGCACCGAGGGTATCCAGGACAGAAGTGCGAAGCCCCTGGGAGGGGCTGGCTTGGCCCCACCTGCAGCCACGCCTTGGCCCTGATTCCAGACTGAGCCCAGCCACAGGCCCTGCCCCCCGAGAGCTTTCATGGGGAAGGCAATGAGGTTGACTCCCGGAGCTCAGGTGTGAAGATTAGCCCCCTGTCCCTTCATTCGAGAAGCCCTCCCACGCTGATCTGCCACAGCACCTCGGGCTTGTGAATTCGCGTCTGTCACCGCTCTGAGCTGTGTCTACCCGCACGGGCCCTGCTGTGGGGACTGTGCTCGCCCCCACTAGACTGCGCCTCAAAGGAGGCAGGACCACATCTGGCACCCAGTAGGTCTTCAGTAGGAAGTATCTGTCGGGGAATGGAGTTGCAGTTGGGAGGTGTGACGGGGTGGGACAGGGGCAGCAGCTGTGGTGGGAGAGGCCCACTGAGGCTTTCGGTGTCCCGCTGCCGACTTTAGCGAGGAGTCTGACTGAGCGTGTGCCCTGTGTGACGGGCGTGGAAGCCACGGGTGTGTGAGTAGGAGACGGGCTGGATCGGCACTGTGTTCTGCGCTCAGCCTCTCATGCCCCGCCCCAGACAGGCCCCCTTGCGGAGCTGGGGGACAGAGCTAGGGAGAGGATCCCAGTGCTGGCGTCCTGCCCGCAGCCTCGACCACCTGCTCCAAAGCCCTACCCAGGCCAGTCAGGGCGGGAGGCCAGGGCAGGGGGCCAGGAGAGTCCCCTCCCCCACCCCGCCCTTGTTAACACACACGCACACAGAGTCTCAAAGTAATGAATTAATCAGTATTTACTTGCTACCAGTGAGTCATGGAGTGGAACAATTAGTGTAATTGCTCCCGTGACTAATTGCTGGGTCTTCCTCCGGTTTAAACATTCCAGAAGCCCGGGGCAGCCACCGTCCAGCTTCCCCCCAACTCCACCCGCACTCCCCAGGAAGACACCCCCAGCACCCAAGCTGAGGAAGCTGGGGGGCTGCCCATTCGGCAGCACCCACAGCTGGGCCAGCTGAGCCGGAGTCCCTTGGCCACTGAGCTCATTTCTGAGGCAAACGCCTGAAGCCAGAGACTGTGGGCCTGGGCTCCACTCCCAGGCGAAGCCGCCCTCAGTGACTCCATCCTTCCAGGTGGGCCAGGGGGACCTTGAGCTGGGAGGAGAGGCTCTGAGAAGTCTGTGTTCCCTAGGGACTCCCAAACTGGGGTAAACCCGAGGGCTAAAACAAGGAGTCCTCATGACTCCTCAGCGACAAGGGCCACACGGCAGCCCCTCGTGCCCTGCTCCAGAAAGGCCAGCAGAAAAACCCCAAGACCACCCACCACCCCAAAACCACACAGACCCTTGGACAGACACACCCAGAGACACAGAGAGAGCATACACAGACGCACCCTGCCACACACTCACCTAAGGCAGCCACCAAAAGTGCCGTGTGTTGGCCTGCCTCTGGGCACACACAGGCGTGTGCATGGGGACGGGCACGCTGGGCGTGCGCTGCAGAACTCCGAGGCTCGCAGGCAAGCATGGAGCCTCCTGTGAACCCATCAGCCTCCACTCAGGTAGCTCTCACCTAGATACTATTCATCCCGCTCAGTAGCCATTGACATGACAACCGTTACCATGACGACCATCTCCTTCATGCCAAGGACCAGGAGCTCCAGCTCCCCATAGAGATGGGGAAGCAGGAGAGGAGAGATCATGGAGGAACAGAGAGGATGACAGGGAGGGAGAAGGGCAGAGACACGGGACGAAGAGACAGGGACAGAGAAAAGCCAGGGGTCTGCGGGGCATGGGTGAGGGAGGGCTCACCGCCACAGAAGGAGAAGCCCAGAGTGGGAGGTGGCAGGAGAGAACGCTCTCACATCTTAATTTAGCCTCGCGCTCATCAGACAAAGCTGGGGAAGGGGCCCTGAACCCAAGAGATCATTCTTTCTGAGAAGCGGCAGCCCCCAGACAGGGTGGAGGGAGGGGTGGCCAGTAAATAGCCCAGGCACCCTGAGCTCGCCCCGGGAAGCCACATGGTGGGAACCCCTGAGACCTGCGGGGCTGGGAGGTGGGGTGCTGAACACCATCTCGCCGAGCACCGGCCCCGAGCTGGCCAAGGGCCAGCTCCACCCCTCTGTGGGCCAGCTGGGGAACCAGGGCTCCAAGTGGGGCTCAGTGGGGCCCTCCCAGGAACACAGCGGGTGCTGCCAGTGGCAGGAGCTCCCAGGGGCTGAAGGAGAGAAGGAGAAAATGGGGGTGGGAAACCGAGCCTGGGAGGCAGCAAGGAAAGCCTCAAAGGCACAAAATGCCAGAAGAGGAGGGTGACAAACAGCCTTTGACCCCCAAATGACCTCCTATTTGCATAATTATGCATAATTAGCATAATTATCCATGCCGTTCCCTTAAAGGAGAAGTGAATCGGAATGCCCCAGGACCCTTTGGCCTCTCCCTGACCCTTGCTGCACCCCTCCAGGTAAACTTACACCCTACTGTGCCTGATAAATACACACACATGTGCACACACAAATGCACACAGACTGCAGCTAATAATCCAGCAATGTCCTCGTGCACACATCACACATTCCCAGCACACACAGCCACACCCTATGAAACATACTATGCACACACACACCCCCCGCAAATACACATAATTGTGAGCAACATTTACGGACCCAACCTGTGTGTCCACCTTAGCTCATGACAAGAGAGCCTGGCACACACCACCTTAGGCTCACCCATTTCCTACACCCCTACTTACATGTGTACACACACACACACACACACACACACAAATGCACCCTGCTCCTCACCTACCGCACCCACGGGTGACCCAAACTTCAGAAAAATCTCATCAGCACATGGGTGGCACACGTCCCCCCAGGGCACACACCGACACCTCCCCATGTCCAAACACATCACCGCACACGTCCCCACAGTGGGGACTCTGACACAAGGCTCACAACTCGTGGACGCCATTGCCCCTGTTCACACTTCCCACAGCCACCATGCACAGGCCCAGGCACACTCCCCTCCTGGTACATGTACGCACACACACTCGGCACCCTTCCCAATGGACTGCCCTGCCGTTTTCCCTCGCTGTCCCCCAGCCCATTCCTCCAGAGCTGACCCACACAGCCTCACCTCTAAGAGGCACCTCAGGCTCCCGCAGAGATCGGAGGCTCCACAGAGTTTCCGGTGAGGTACCCAGAGCAGCCAGGTGTCAGGTAAGTCTCCTCGGTTCACAGCCGCTCGCTGAGTGCCGGGGCCATGGCCCTCAGCCTTTTGCCAAGACCAGAGGTCTGGGGTCTCTCATGCCCGGCCCCTACCACCGACCCTCCCCCATTATGAGCCTCCCCAGAGAAAATGGGACTGGATGGCCCAGAGGCTGAGCCAGAATGAATCAGCGCCTCCCTTCCCACCCGTGAGAAAGCGGGCACGCCCCCAAATCTCAGGCATCTCTGTCATCTCATCTGTAAAATGGGGGTGAGCACCACAGGACGTTGCTCGTAGAATTGCTACGAGATTCACATAAGGCCATGCAGACAACAAGTGGTGCACGGGACCTGATACCTAGAACTGAGCAATGGACGCAGCCGCAATTACTGCTAGTTGCACGGTAATGTTTCTACCACTCTCGCTTCTGAAGACTTTATCTGTTGTACGTCTCACAGTCCTCATGAGGGCAGTAGAATCAGGGTGACTGCACCCATGCTGCAGATGAGGCTACAATGCCCAGAGAGGTTAAGAGGCTTTGCCAAGGCCGCCCAGCAGGGGAGAGGTTGGATGAGGGGAGAGAAAGCGCGAATTGCAGACACAGAGACACACAAATTAGGTCAGCTGGCAGGAGGCCAGGAGCCCGGCACCCCTGGGCAGTGCTAATCATGTTGCAAAAGCTTAGAATAAAATCGAGTGTAATTAATTCTGCCCGAGCTTCCTCCCTGGCACTAGCCAGACCCGGGCCCTGCTCTCATGGTGGCTAGACACAACGTGAGCAGGGG